GTATAGGGTTTGTTCCTTGGGGACGAGCTTTCTCAACTACGCTTGTTGCTTATAAAAACATAAATGGTTCTCGTTTTCCGCATACTTTCAGCGCTTCCACAATCCAAGAGCTGTGATGTAACCATTAAATGTTATATGTTTGTCGAAGCATTGACACTCCCTTGCGGTGTTAGGAAGCCAAAAGCCCCATAGGCTGTGAGAATCCAGCTATTGCATAGGATACACTCTTTGCGATTGGGTGCATATAATGGATCGCCAAGCGGGTGTGAAGCCAGTTGCCTTGCTCAGATATCTGATGTATCAATCCCATGCGGGCTGCACGTTATGCTCCGGCTTTGCGGCCTCCATGAGGAACCTTATCGGCGTGATGACCTACCGTCTCCATAATCCCTTTTATGGATCTATAAAAACAAGAAGCCATGAAAAAGACAATTTATTAATATTATTACAACTACCGTGTAAGGTTCTGAACAATTCAATCTACTATTTTACTTATTTGTAGAGCGTGGTTGAAGAAATTACAGCACTATCAGAGGCACCGAAAATGAGAAAAGCTTCCATTCACTTGTCTTCACGAAATGAGGATAGCTACTTCCTTTATACTATAATTCAAAAGATGGAGTGAAATCGAATGTGTGGTGGAGACTACTCATTGACAAGCTCCCCTTCGGTGTCCGCCTCCACCGATATATGCCTGATAAACTCCCTCTAATTTGTCAGATATGTAGGAAGTCTCCTGAGACGGAACAACATCTGCTATTTCAGTTGCCCCAAGAAGCTGGAAGTAGCAGGTGCAATGAAGTAATTTGTCGGAGAAAATGACTGGTCAGCCTTCCTACTGGAGTCGTTATTTTATGCCAACCCGACGAAATCAACCCACTCAACAATGTGCACCAACTTCCCCACATAACCCGTACTGATAAATATATTTTGGAAGATCTTAGAGGTACGGATATATTTCTAAAGCTCTTTTCGACTGAGGAAGCTGCCAACATGTGACGATTCAGGAAGATTCGAATAATGCAATTGAATGATCTCACTGTCTGTGTTACAATCAATTCACCCTAATGTGATTTAACGAGAAACACTTTCTGTTGATCTTGTAACATTCTAAACTCTTGATGCTGTTTCTTGGACTCACGGTTAGGGATACTCCAGAAGCGATAGAGACTGAACGCTGATCAACCACACTGCATGATCAGTAATATCACTAGTTAAATATAGGTGACAAATCGAGGGTGCTTGATACTGCGTTTTTCCACAGTGGTTTTACAGACAGATATTATACTTCAATTATACCAGCAAAATAGTGTGTGCTTAAATAAATAAATAAATAAATAATAAAAAATAATAAATAAAATAAAATAAAAAAAAAAAAAAAAAAAAGGCGGGAGACCCGCATTGCTCGCAATACTATAGCGCTTGGCGATAGCAACTTTGGTGATGCTGTCTATAGCAGCCTCAGGTATTCTCTTATGGTATGGTACAGGATTAAGGAAGGTACATCAGTAGCAGACATTTTATATGTTCATCGCTATTATCACATCAAAAAAAAAGACTTCGCAATTAAAGAATGTCTGCAGCACCTCTATAGATGATTCAAAAAGCGATCGCGTCGATAATACTCTGATTGCTTTCTCACAACTCATGACTCGTAAACAAATACAGCCAGCATCCAGCGTCGAAAATAAGTCTATTAGAGTAATGTCATTGATATTTACAAACATATACACAACAATCATGACAGAGTGTCATCTGTCATTGCAGGCCTGCGATGAGCTCAATATCATCATGACTACCAAGGGGTTCCGAAGGCAGATACTAAGGCATGCGTGGTGTTTATCTTCAAAATATTACTTGTAGCGATACCGCCCCTACGTTGCAATCGCAATAAGAGAATCAAACAATCTAAAGGCGCACATCGGCAACAACAAAAGATTGAGGGCAGACCTGGACTGTAGACACCGGATTAGCTGGCTTTTTATTTATCTCTGTTGTACCAACTTCCTTCCGCTCCAGCTAGCGGCTCCTAAAGAACCAAATGATATTTGCTTACATAGTAGTTTCTTTTACTGCTATTACCACCAAGGATCATTCATAAAGACCAGCCAACAATGCAGTAAATATAGCGGCTCAGAGGTCATTAGCTCTCAAAGAAAATCAGAGGTACTATGCTATTGATACTCAACCATCCTTGAGGAATTTAACTATTTTGAATGTGATGGCCACAATACTTCTAATTTTAATGGACCTGCATCTTTTTTTTTTTTTTCTTTTTCTTCTCCTCCCTTTCCTTCTCTTATTCATTCTCTTTCTCTGATAACTCCCCCTCCAACCGATCTCGCACCAAAAAATGTCTTCATTCGATATTCATGCACTCCGGAGGACTACTACGTTTACCAGTAGCTCCATTGCTGTCCCCACTAAACCATGTCGAGCCAATGGCAATCCTGAATGCCATCGGGGCTTCGTCCGAGAACGCTGTAGAAAGTGTACTCTGGGCTCTATCGTCTGCCATATGTGCTATTCGGCGCCCTCACCTTCTTATTTAAAACCCTCAACGTCCGCCCTGTCCCCATCCTTGCTATCATCGTCATTAGCATTGACAACAAGATCTCCTTGCTCTGGTCAATACCAAGGTAAAAACCCCAAAGCAAAAGCGCCCATCGTCTGTCATCACCCTCTGTTTTGAACGCGGCCATCCCATCCGCTTCAACAACTACAACTAGCACAGACACCGGCAACGCCTCTAGGGCATCAATCTCGTTTCTGCACGAAGAAGCCTTTCTTTCGAGCCTTCAGATCTTGTACCTATATCTGCTCCCGTATCAACGGCCTCATTTAATCCTTCTCCTACCCCACAGTCAGCTTGTTCGCCCACATCGATCACCTTTTCATCCAATATCGCTGTATCAACAAGAATTAATGGTGCTGCAGCCAACAGCTCAAAAATGGCATCGCCAACAGGAACAACAGTAGCAGCTTCGCCTCTTGTTCTTCCTTCATCTTCTTCTGCATCCCCTTCCTCCTTTCTAACGCCCTGTATCTACTGCAAAAATGGCCGAAAGGCTTGTGAAGAATGCTTTGGACTGGGCTATGTCCAACGATTTGCCAAGATTGTATCGAGAAAGCCATCGACGGCATAGTAAAATAATCATCACAACATCATCAGCCTACGTCGGGGCAGAAGTAATGAGGGGTACGGGGTCCACACTAATAGCTGTAATAATAATGGCAGTGGTAGTGGCGATAGCGGTGATGAAGGGACCAGTCGTGGTCGAAAGCGTGGTTATAGCAGGAACAACAATAATAGTGCAGCCTACCGAAGAAAAGCTTCTCTACCATTGCCAACGTCTTGGAATCAGATGGGTGAAGGATGGTCCAAATTTAAAGAGCAGCTTTTGGTAAGCACAACAAACATGGCAACTGCAACAACAGCCGCGATGGCCAAATCAATCTCTCGACCGGAGGGGGCGGATCGGGATCTGTAAAGGGCAATGATAGGGTACAGTAAAGGGAGCACAGGTTAGTGCGGCCGTGCAAGAACGGAAGGAACAGGAGCAGGAGCAGCAACCGATCGACATATCTCCTACCATTGCCCTCGCAAGCGTGAGCTCTGGCATAGGTACAAGCCCTGGCACAGATACTGACACGGCGACAACAATAGCACAACCAAGAGCCCCAACCACGCTAACATTCTCTGTCCCTGTGCCAGAAGCTCTCATAGAGCATTCACCCTCTAACCAGTTTCCTCTCCCCTTACAACAACAACAAGAGCATAAGCTACTATCCTACCCCGAGGCTAAAGATTTTAAAGAAGATGATGAGATCGAAGTACAGACCAAGGACTGGATTGATGGGAATGGTACTTCTGATGCGCTGATGCTACTTTACACCCCGAATATGGTTGCGATAACAGTAAGGTCAACAGTAACGGTAGTGGTAGCCGTCTCTGTCATTCAAGGACACAGTCAAGAAACATCTCAAAGTACCAATTTTATTTTCAAACATTAACAAGCGAGCAACCAACAAAGCAAACGTGTTAAACAATGCCAGTGAGGTCGATGGGCATAATAGGCGCCGTCAAAAGAAAAAAAAAGACAAAGCATCATCGTCGACAGTGGTCATTGTCACTACTTGCACCAAGTGGCCTCCTGCGTTCCATGGCCTCATCAGCTGCATGAATACGTTACATATACATGTACGCCTTTTTATGTTTTAATCCCCGTACTCAAGTACATGTACATCCATAATATTCTGTTTAATCCCATGTAATAAGTCATGATGCATAATTCAATATTCAATAATAAGGGCAGACTATATAATCATCGGCAAAAAAAGAAAAACCAGATTGTTGACACATGCTTATTTGTTGAGAAAGGGACCAAACTTTAATGACAAAAGCGCGGTAAAAAAGATACACAAAAGATCTCCGCTCGTAAAAGGCTCCGCATTGTTGTTGGGCACGTTCACAATTCTATTGTCCTCGATGTGCCCATATTCATAAACGTATCTCTTTTTTTTTTTTTTTTTTTTTTTTTCTTAACAGCCTGCTTCTAAATTGACATGTATCCTTAAACCAAAAAAAAAAAAAAAAAAAAAAAAAAAAAATTGATGGGGAAGAGAAGAGGGGAAACAAAGAGTCTTTACCTTCTTCTCCTTCACTCCTTCCTTTCTTCTTTTAAGTAAAGAACAAGAGCATGATGCTTCCGTGTGACCCAAAACAAACAAAAGGAAACGAAAAACCAAAAAAAAAAAAAAAAAAAAAAAAAAAGCCAAACAAGCCAAAAAAGCCAAAAGTCAAAAAAGCCTCTGTACATGAATGCAGGGCAGTGTTTTTTGTCAGAGGTTGTGACCCATGACATGTACAGTATCATGCGAACCAAACAAACAACAAACGTGTGAGATAGATGCATGGAAATATGAAGTATTTGCTACTACACACCATGCAGAACCTCCCGTTTTTTTTTTTTTTTTTTTTGCATGGTGAGAAAAGAGGATTTAATATTTAATGTAATCTAGAAAATGCGAACATGTGGATGACAGATTGAAAGGCGATAATGGTGTATAAAGCAGTAAAAAAAAGGGGGGTAGGAAAAGGCGAAGAGAAAGAGTTGATGCTGACAATGATGATGAGGATGACGATGGCGATGAAAGATAATAATAATAATAATAATAATAAAGGTAATGATATTACAACTTGAGCTTGGCGCCTTTGGAATTTTCTGCTTGTGATGAACCATTCTTGATACTTGACCTCTTGTTGCCCTCGCGATCGATGAAGCTGATGTTCTTTTGACCTGAAATGCTTTGACAGCATCCATCTTGTCGCGCACCACTGTCTTGGAGTTCCCTTTGTCCCCAGGCTGGCGACCCAATCTCCGGTCTCTGGCCTCCCTTTCGGCTTTGCGTTCTGCTTCCTTGCGAGCCTTTTCTCGGATCTCGACCTTCTTGGCCTTTTTAGCCTGAGCACGCTTCCGTTTCCTATCAGCCTGTTCCATCTCAGTGTCGCCCTTGATGGGTTGTTTACCTGCAGAGTAGACTTCCTCTGGGGCTAATAGTGCCGCATCAGCAACACTGACAGGAATAGCTTCCTCCATACTGATCGCTGGTGCATTCGTAACCACTGTGAGTTCAGCCTTGGGTGGCTTGGGTGTGTAATGCCAATTGCTGAGCGAATCAAGCTTTTGGCAAAGCTGTTGCCATAATTGTGTGATTCTTCATGTTTCTTCTCCAAGGCTGCTTCACGCTCACTCAACACAGGCCCTGTGGTCGATGTCTGACGAACATATTCATCCTCATACAGTTCTGCAAGTGATTTCTTTGATTTCTCATCAGAAATCTCGACTCTTGTGGATGGATTGAAGGCCTTTTGGTTGGGTGCGGCCTTGCGAACCACATCATCAAAATTACCAGCCAAGATACGTTCCTTGATCATGTCTTCTAACGTCTGTGTTGTCTCTGCGGTGATAACAGGAATAGGCTTCGCTACCGTCTCGAAATCAAGATCCTCCTCTAGCAAACTGTTGACAGGACGATCTGAAAGATGATGCCTCTCCTTTGATGGTCCAGTCTTTAGCTGCAACATTCTCCTGCTCTAATGCCTCGATCTGTGCCTTGAGTTTCCTCTGTTGCTTTTCAAACTTTGACAGTTTTTCTGTAACAAAAAAAAAAAAAAAAAAAAAAAAAAAAAAATTTAACAAATTAATTCTTCGTCATCCATAGTGAATTAAAAAAAAAGGTTGATAAGCCCTTTCTTCAATCAAAGTTGTTCTTTTTTTTTTTTCTTTACCTGCTTCATCATCTTCCGCTTCGTCTATTCCAAAGAGATTAGAGACCCTATCACCGAGTTCATTGATCTCTGCATTTTCATCATCTTCATCAGCGTCTTCCATCTCCAGATCATCGCTATTTTCAGCTTTACCAAAAGAGTCTTCATTATTTTTTGATGGGCGTTGAGCCTTAAACCTGTTAGTCGTTCCTCTTGGTGGTGGAGCGAAAAAGTCCTTGTATGTCACGTCTATAAAAAAAAAAAATGCACACCCACATGCACACATTAAAAATGGTCAACAACGGTCTTTTTTTTTTTTTTTTTTTGATTAGAAACATAGCAAAAGGTATCGCATCTTTATAAATTTACCGTGAGCATCTGCTTCATCCTCATTCTCGCCCATGTTTCCGAAATCGTCATCCTCATCACCACTTTCAATAACATCCGGATCTGCAAAGTAGTCAATCTCCTCATCATCATCTTCGGGTTCCTTGTCTTCCAGCTCATCCTGCTCCTGTTTCTCTGTTAAGGCATTGAACTCCTCAAGATTAAAAAAATCATCATCCACTTCTGAGGTCTTGGTCCTTTTTCTTGACTGGCAGATCGAGATCATCCAAGTCTTCTTCTTCTTCTTCTTCTTCTTCTTCATCATCATCATCATCCTCATCCTCTCCCCTTTCCTGATAATCCTCTGGTTCCATGTCATCAAAATTTTCTGCATCATCTTCACCAGAGAACCCTTCCATGTGATCAGTATCAGCGATATCAACACCATATCTCATCATCAAGGCCCAAATTCATTTCTGCCTCATCATCATCTTCTGCTTGATCATGATCCTGACCATGCTTTCTTCCCCCCTTATTCTCGTCCTCATCATCATCACTAGCTGCTGCTTTTGACGATGGTGTTCCTGATTGTTAGATTTAAGGTTTTTAAGTTCTAGCTTGAGGTAAGATAGGAAAGGCGTATTTTGCATATGAATCTCTTCCCAGATTTGGTCGTTATCAAAGCCATCGATAAATAATTCTTCTAACATGGAGCCATGTTTCTTGAGTGATCCAGATTCAGTTGACTTGCCTAAAAGAAAGAAAAAAAAAAGTCAGTCTAAGTACCCATGGTTATCAATCAATTGCTTAAAGCCATCTTAATGAATCAGAGAAAAAAAAAAAAAAACATAATAATAGTGTTTCTCTAATGCCAATTTTATTTTACCAAGGTCATAGAGGTATTTTGTGATGGCTTTGGCTTGCCTCAGCCGAAGTCTCAGACTTTGTAAGGAAAACCTCTGGTCGAGCGAGAACCTGGTCATGGAAAGACTTTAGCAATGCCTCATCAGGCATTGTCTTTTTCTAATGACATTATGCTGTGTTATATGTAAATGTGTATATGTTTGAAGACAGTGTCAAGCCAAGTCAAGCAGCTGATGTTTGCAGGAGATGAGGCAAAGGTCGTTATTGAAAAGGCCACCTCTTTTTGTTTAAAAAAAAAAAAAAAGACTGTACATAAACAATGTGGCTTATTGATGACTACTAAATACCACATGACTTATACCCGAGTGCTCTCTTATTTGCAAACGCGCTTTTCTCTTCTTTGTCTCCGCGCTTTTTTCATTCCTTGTCTCTACCTTTATACTTTAAATGTCTGCTGCAAACGTCCCTGAGGGACTTAAGTCCATCACTCCATACCTGCAACGCGCTGCCCAGTTGCAGGGCCGTGAACCTATCGTGTCATACTATGGTATATAATAGATAAAAGAATAAGGAAAAAAAAAAAAAAAAAAAAATTGTGAAAAAGTATAATGGGGTTTGTTCATTATTCACGAGGAATTGTTCATTCATTATTATCGCTTTCTCTTTCTCGCTGCCATTCTGTCTTTATATATATATTCATCCCCAGCCAATTATTATGCTGCCAAATTGGCTATTCCTAAGGCAGGACAGGATGCTAGCAACAGGGCGTTTGTGTGGAGCTACTCGATACTTTGGAGAAGGTAAGAACAAGTGCTGGCGCAGGAAGTAAAGGAGGAATTCATTTCTTTTTTTTTTTTTTTTTTTTTTTAACCGGCTTTATGCCTGCTATCAGTGTAACACAGGATTCTTGGCATTCTAGAGAAGCATTTGTAAAAATAATATCATGTAAAATACTAATGAACCCTTTTTTCTTTGTGTGTCCTTTTCCATAACAGCAACGAAAAGAGATTGGAGAGAATGAGGCCATCTCGAGTGATTTGGTTGGATATGCTCACATTGAGAACTTTGCCCTCAAGATCTTTAGCAGAGCTGACGACGAAGACCGTGCTGGACAAGGTTCACAGTAGGGGACATACATCGTCATTCTCATAAAATGTGCAAAAATCAGGGCTCATATCCTTACTATTTTTTTTTTTTTTTTTTTTTTTGTGCGTACTGTTTTTCCTTCAACAAACAAAAGAAAAACTGCCAAGAATTTTGTCGCTGCTGCTAACTTTCTGGAACTACTCAAAGTGTTTGGTGATATTGATTCTGAAGTCGAAGCCAAGATCAAATATTCCAAATGGAGGCTGCCGAGATTGTAAAAGCACTTCGTGATGGTCGTACGCCCCCCTTACCACCAGGAGCTGATAAACCCAAGGAGGAGATCATCACAGATGCCAGTGCTAGCGCCAACTTGACAGGATTGGAATCTTCATTGGACATGTTGGGAGGCGATAATAAAGTCAACAACAATGATCTTGATAATACCAATGTTACTTCAGCATTCACTCCTATACTTCCACTCCTGTGTCCCATCCTCATCTATGATAACAACGCCTCAGTCTGGATTCCCAACAATCTCCAATTCCCTTCGCCTCCCTTGGGACCTTCCAGCACAAGCGGCAGTAACGTTGGTGGTGGAAATGCCTTAAACGGGACCTTTACTGACAGTAACAACAACAATTGGAGTCAAGCGTCCCATAGCCCCAACCCCACCTTTGGCCAGAACCAGAGTCAGAACATATACCAACCAGCAGCTGCACCACCATCACAAACATCAATACCCTCTACTTTTAATCCCACTGCGGCCAATATCAACTCTCCACCAACTTCAGGACACATTACAGGGCCTTCGGACACACAATACGGATATGGAGTAGGAAACAATCAACCTCATAGTAGTGGTCCATATCAACAACAACCTACTGTGAGTCATATGAACACACCTTCACCAAACTCATATGTCCAGCCATCTTCTGGATTCTCCCAGCCTTCCGCACCTTATCAGCATCAGCCTCATTCTCAAACACAGCCACAACCACAGCCACATCTGCATCCACAATCACAACCACTACAGGCACCGTCTCTCAAATCCCATACACACCTGTCCAGATGGTTCTGGACCCTGCTGTCAATACCCAAATTCAGAAGCATTGTTAAATGGACCGTTTCTGCATTAACATATGATGACATTCCGACGGCCATTGATAATCTGGAAAAAGCACTTGCTCTTCTTCGTGTAAGTATTGTATTGTTTTTTTTTATTTTTTATTATTTATTTTTATTTTTTTGTACTAATGCTTGGTGTGTGATAGAAACACTAATTTGTTTGTATTCTTTTCTGTTTAATTATCTCCTTCACATTGCCTTGACTGGTTGACCATCCATAGCCATATCATAACAAATAATAAAACATCCGAATCTTTGCATAAATCCATCCACAATCATCTCGGGCACATTCATGACAAAAATAACTATTAGAATTGACGATTATGCGTCCCCCCGCTTTTTTTTTTTCCTTCCAAAATCAAAGGCTCTTGTTTATTATGCTAAGAGCAATCTTCTTGCGGAGATAATCCATATTCCTCTGTGAAAAATCTAACTGATCCTGTCCTCGACTCTTGAACTCGATGAATGTGCATGTGAACACTCCACAATCAAATCCATTCTTTTGAGTGGGAATGTCTTTGGGACAATCATTTTCCCATCCATGAAAATCAAATGGCTTCTTTCAGTTTATCTGTGTTCTGATTCAAGGTAATTACGAAGAAGCTTCATAAAGTGGAAGAAATAAAAAAAGAATCTTTAGTTTCGCTTAACAGTAAGGTTCAACTTGACCAATTACTTTTTTTTTTTTTTTTTTTTTTTTTTTTTACCTCACCAGAAACATTTAGGATTATTGCCAAGAAGCGAGTCATAATATTCTATCCTTTTCTTCTTCATGTCGATCACAGCTGTGGTCCAGTGATTGCCTGAGTGATGAATGGTATAAGCACATAATCCATGTCGAAGATTTGATCTAAAGTGACCAAATAAGAAAAATAACATTAGCTTTCATGCTCCTGATTATAACATCCTCATCTGCTCACGTTCATCTCCATTCTATACCTTTTTGGTCCATCGCCTGACTTTTTCATAGCCATTTTCGCTGAGCGTTTTGTAAAAAAAGGTGCTAAAAACATGGACCTTCGGTAACTCTGTGGATTCTTTGCTCCTGGCCATAATTAGATTTCCGTAAAAATTGATGACCTCGTCATTAAGCCATTGACCTGGTCGCAATGTCTGAATATCTTTTTTGAGAATCGCAACATTAAATCCTTCCGCGCTACTTGACCATATCCATCCGCTAGAGCTTCAGCAACCTAGTAGAATAATACAAAAAAAAAAAAAAGAAAAAAAAAAGAAAAGACATTAAATACCTGGACTTTTAAGTTTGGTCCAAGAAAGAGATGATCTCAAAAAAAGTGTAAAACGAAAGCAGTATAATGAACTCACGCGTTGCTCGTCGTCTTTGGCAAGTGGTGGAAAATGCTCATGTCCTGATTTTCGTGCTTTCAGTTCCTTCTCGATACGCTCATGTTCGCTCACAATAGCCTGGTGACTTGGTGGCCGCTCCTGCTTCTCAACGCTACATGTTGAATAAGTTGTCAAAGAAGATAAGAGTCAATATTTAATAGGTTAAAACCTATGACCTGAGCCATAATCATAAAGAAGGGGAAGCGAATCCAAAAGTACCTTGGCAGATTCCTGTTGATCAGATTTCTAATATTCTTGAGCCATGTTGGCTCTTTGTTTCCTTGATACTAAAAATAAAGCAATGAAAAAAAAAAAAAAAAAAAAAAAAAGCTCGATCGGACCTGTCAGTAAAAAAAAAAATTTTATAAACATTAACGAAATGGATGCTTTCCTATCATGTAGGAAACGACCGTAAGTTGAATGGCCCTTTCTGTGTGACCTACCCCTGTCCTTAGCCAAGCTGGTTGTCTAGATGTTATACTACGCTCTAATAACAAATCGTCCTTGTCGTAAGATCGATAGTATTCTCTCATTCGACGATGTTCTGCAATCTCTTCGTCAATAGATGGCTGTGATGTCCTCCTTGAGCTCACAATGCTTTCCCGATCTGATCTTAATGCCCCAATTGTTGCATCCAATGCAGCTTGAAGTCGATCTAAGTAAACATACATATAAAAAGAATAAGAGAAAAAAAAAAAAAAAAAAAAAAAAAAAAAAAAAAAAAACGTAAGATCAAATTAGGAATGCTACTGCCAAAGATACAGACATTATGAAATGATATATCAAACATTACTTTGTCCCGACCGTGAATGAATCAAATTATGCGCTCAACAAACGCTGACGTGCGACGGACTCATCCTTATTGTACTACAATTAAATTAAATTAAATTAAATTAAATCAATGGTAGTACAAACCAGGTTAGACTTTAGGAGCGATTTGCCACAATCGGACTCCACTTTTCCTTTTTCTTTTCATTTTTTATATATATTTCTTTATCCTATACCTTGCTCTGCAGCAACGAAGTTGTCCTTTGAGCTTTGCTGGCATAGATTCGTGGTCGAGCCCGCAGTAAGGAGTTTTGTTCAAATCTATGTGGTGTGGCAGGTTGCTAAATCGTGATGATCCAGTGACAGAAGATACACTCGAGGAAGATGGTGATCCTGAAGCTAATGAACTGTTTGATTCATCAGCGCTCTGGATTGAAGTCCATAAGTTGAAGGAGTAGAGGATAATAGGCTAGATGAAAACAATGAAGGCCGTTCCCGGAAATCTGGTGCTGTAAAAGTGGGAAGTTTTGTATATGGCTCCAGCTGATATGGTTTGTTTTCCTCAGAATTATCCATGGCAGCAGCAGTAGGCTCTGCTGGCTTTTTAGATCCATCGTTCGGCGATAGAGACGAGGGGCTAGGACGACGATGTGCTGGAAAATGTTGATCCTGACCTTCTTTCAGAAGTACGCCTCGGACATAAGCTCCTTCGTAGCGCTTCCTGGATATGCTCCTACCCAATCATGCTTCTTACGCTGCTGCTCAATAACTAGAAATACCACAAACGAGTAAAGTAATTAGAATGTACATGATAAGTTGCTTATTGTTGATATACCAGTCCCTACAATAAACAGGCATGTCAAAGCTGATGCTAACGCTACCTAGTGATTCTAAAGGTTTTAGTCCAAGATAAGAGCTGATTCCATCTAAACCTTCTGTGAACCATAGCCTTGCGCGCTTTGACAGCTCAGCAGTATCGACAATTGATTTTCGTTTCGAGGAGGTCATGTAAAAAGTAGATGTCCAATGTTTTCAAAATAAAAAGGAGGAAGAATTAGTTTGCCGGTGGCTGCAAATGTATACTGGAAAGGAGAAGAGAGGGAGAAAAAAAAAAAAAAAAAAAAAAAAAATGTATGAGAAAGTAAAAAGAAAGTAAGAATGGATGAGTTTTCAATGAAGAGTATGAGAGGAGATGAAGGGCGATGCACCAGAAGGAAGAAAAGAAAGAAAAAAGGACCGCGTTTGTGTGCATACAAAGACAAAAGGTGGAAAAGTCTTGGTGACATGGTCAGGGCTCATTTCCTCATCGGGATATCTTTCATTAAAGGGCGTTTTCCTTTCATTGTTTTTGTTGGAGGCAGTGGCTTATGCTAACCTCTAAAAGAATAGATTGAAGGTTGTATGGAAAGAAAGAATATCATGGAAAGAGTGGCCAAGGGAAAAAAAAAAAAAAAAAGAAAGAAAAGAAAAGAAAGACGTTGTTGATTCTTCATTCTTTTCAACCTTGACATTCAAACCTCATTTTTCATTGCTCTATAATATATTACCATGGAAGCACAAATTGAAGAGGTGCGTCAATAAGAAATAAGAACAAATAAACGAGGGCCTCTTCTTTACTTTTATTGACCTGGCCTGTGCTTGCTTCGCCCACATCTTACCTATACTCTTATTACATTGTATATACCTTGATATTTTATCTCGATCTTACTTAATTATCAATAGCTCCTGCCATTTTTGCACGATGCTAGGATGGAGGTAATATAGACATTTGTATTTCAATCTTTTTTAATTTTTTAAACGCAAAAAAGAAAAGTATCAATTGATCCGCTAATTATCTTTTCAACGTATGATTTTGTCGGCATTTTCCCACTCCAGGTTCGTCAAATCGCTATCCAAAACATCGTCTCTTTCACTCCCAGCACTTCTGAATTCTTCAAAGTCTTTCTGAAGCATGCCAAGCCTCTTACCAAGGATTTGAAAGCATGACCAAAGAGGATACCGTAAGGAAAAAAAAAAAAAAAAAAAAAAAAAGTGATTAAAAAAAATTAGTCAAGTAAATCTTTTTCTTATTTTTCTCCAATCTCCTTTTTTTTTTTTTTTTTCCTTCTGGAAATATTAGGCAATCGCTCATGATGCTCTCCGCTCGCTCATCAACCTTTCTGGAGAAACTGTTATCTGCAACGAGCTGGATGATGAAGAATTTATCAAGCATTTGATCTTTAATATCATCATTGTAAGTGGTTGGGCAACTAGGAATACAACTGGATGGAGCTGAGACTGAGACTAAGAATCATACAGGGTGGAACAATGGCTACAATTACAAAAAAAGCTCGTTAAATGTGTATCTTTAATTTCCTAGATGCCTAATGCTGGACAATATATTCGTCCTCTATTTCTCTCTTTCCTTGGCTTTTTTTTTTTAAAAAAAAAAAAAAAAAAAAAAAAAGTCCAAAACCAATATTTTGGGTGATTTAGGATCCATGTTGCTATCCAACATGTGTAAGAATGATAAAATTGCAAACAAGATCTTGAATATGACTGGAAAGCCTGTCGAGGGCCTCACAGTCGCCACCTCCGTTGTCGGTCAACTCGCTGATATCTTTTTAAAGGGCAATGAAAAGAACTACAATCCTCAATGCAACTATGATTTTCTGGCAAGTGTCTTTGCCACATTGGCTACGGTATGTTTTGATGAAAGAATGGAAATGATATGACGAATGGGAATTGTGAATGAGCGATCAAGGAAAAAAATAAAAAAAAAAAAAAAAAAGAGACAGTATCAAATGATTAAACATTCATGACAATTTCCCTTTCTTTTTTTTTTTTTTCTTAATTAAGATTCCTCTTGGTCGTACTCAATTATTTGCCAAAGATAGCGGTGGCCTCTCTCCTCTTTCCAAAATTGTTTGCTTCACTGAACATCCTAATTTGATCCGCCGTGGGGGCGTTATCACAACCATCAAGTAAGTATTATGATTAACAAAATAAAAATTAAAATTAAAGCGTCGGTATTGGTCTTAAACGGCCTAATCGACTATAAAATAAAAAAAAAAGTTCGTCTCTCACATACACATCTGTGTTCTCCATAGGAATGCAAGTTTTGCTGTTGAAAGCCACCCTGCTCTCCTTGATGAGAGCGATAT